GTTGGCCCTAAAATATTCATATATTGTTGATGTCTGAAACCCAATTTTAGTGGACTTTAGTTAGGGTCAGGGCCTTGATCTTATCGACCCAATTAAAATAAATAACTCCCACCACAAACTTTAACATAAGTACACTATCTATATATCAGAGAGAAATTTGAATCAATCATTACCGAAGCTATTTTTCGGCCATATATTGTGTGTATATGGTCCGTCTAAATCGAGTGGTTCAAGTGCGTCATTATACAAAAGTGTTAATAAGAGGAGCAAGAGGTTGGGTTTAACATGAGAGTTATTTCTTATAGTCCACATTCAACATGTAGAAAGACATTTAAGATTTTAGACCAATGTAACCCATTTTTTGAATCAGCAAACCAAGAAAGGTAAAAAAAACCCAACTCAAGCTAAGATTTTGCCGTTTTGGTTTTAAACCAGAGAGACAAAGACAAACTCACAAACCCAAGAATTATTTGTAGTGCAAGCCCAATAGAGTTTGCCTATAGCTAGGCCTATTTTTTCATTTTAGGATTGGAAAACACTGCAACCCAAGAAACGAAATCAAACTAAACCCAATTACTTTCTTTTTTAATTAAAAAACATCTTTCCTCATTCACTTTCTTATTTTTCTGCGTGCTTCAATTTTGATCAAAAAATAAACTTCAATTTTGATCTTATTTTTATATATTTAAATGTGCGTAACCGGTATAAAATTAAATGATTTTCATTTTTTATTTCGTTTATTTTTTTTTATATAAACTAGACGTCCCTAGATCATACTTTTACTTACTAAACTATTTATTTTAATTAGTTTACTAAACAAATAAAATTAGTGAAAACCTACAAATGGAAATAATATTTGTTAATAATATTTTTTCTTGCATCAAAATTTCACTTCTTTTGTTTCATTTATTTCTGTAACTTATTGGTGATATATGAACAGCCAAAAGTAAAGAGATGGAATTATATATATAAGGTATATATATTTAAAAAGGAATATTATTTCGAACATGGAAAAAAAAGGAAGGCCACGTTAGTTTGCCTACTAGAAGGAGAGACATTAGATTCCCTGGTTCAGGGTCGTGCCATAGTGGAAGAATTTGAAACCTTGGCCTATAGCATCCATTTTTAAAAACAAATTAAGGGCATAATATTTTATCAACTTTGAAGGTTTTAAAGGCATTCATTGCTTCTAAATATAATTAAAAAATTATATATATATATATATATATATATAAATACTGTAATTAGTAATTAGGGTAAAAGGAGAGATTTGTTCGGTTTATTTCTAGTTATGGCTTACGATGGTTCAAATTGATTTTAATGACAAAGCTTTTCTCTCTATAGTTTTTCTATCAAATTTTTTCAGATAAAATTATTTATGTTTCCCTTTTTTTATATACTCTGTTTGTTTTTTTAAAAAATTTACAATCAACTTTTTAATTAATTAGGGCATTCTAGTTTTTCTCGCTTCTGCTATCTGTTAATATTAGCACGGCTCTACCTTGGTTAAGTTATTGTAGGAATAGCTGTCTTCGTATTTGTTGATCAACCAAACATAGTTGGGTTACTTATTGGTAATTTACTATGATCATATATTTCTATTGTTAAGGTTATAAACCAAGAGAACTATTTCACAAAAAATGTCAAAATAGTTCGAAAAATACATGAAAGAAGAAGAGATAACAACAAGAGTATCTAGAAATGTCAAATAGATCTGTATCATCTGTTGATTATAAATAGATTTGTGGTCATTTGACCAATTAAATTACTTGGTATGAAAAAAAATACTCCAGCTGTTTTACCAAAAGCTTAGCTAAAAGTATATAATTTTTTTTTTTTTTTTTTTTAAAGTATATAATTGTTCACATGTTCTAGGGGTTAAAGGTGAGGAAAAATTAAACTGTTTTTTTTTTTTTTTTTTTTTTTTGAAGATTTTTTCCATCCTCACCTGATCACGTCTCTAATCTAGGAACCCTCTAATTATTCTAGGAGCTTATCGCTTACATCATTCGCTATTAGGCTTATATATGTAGGGTATATATTGTTATAATCAATGCGTTGTAACTCCGGGATGTAACGAATGTAAACTTGGAAAATGATTGAATCGCGCACGTGAACACTTTCCTTAAAGAGTATTTCGACCCTTCTCAAGCCTTGGGTTACACGAAATCCCTTGTAGGATAAGACAATCAAAGTTCTCTCTTGTTCTAGGCTAAGATACAAGAGAAACAAATAGAGATTTGTGTTTTGTTTATGTGTTTATCACCAAAGATTCTTTCAATCTTTGATCTTGTGAAACTCTCGTGCTCTGTACTTCTCTCTCTCTTTTGACAAAAGAGAAACAGAGTTTCATAGTGATCAACGATGTTCACATACGTTTGCAACCGTACGTTTAATATAATAACCGTTTGTACAAAAAGGTGCGATGGTTGGTGTATAACCGTCGATGTACGTACACTAACTGTCGATGTACGTACACTTAAATATCCAACATTCGTGAATAACCGACGATGTACGTACACTTAAATATCACGTACACTTAAATATCCAACATTCTTCCCCCATTTAAGTGTAATCTTTGATTCACAAAATTAACAACACGTAAACCAAACTCATGCATAAATGTAAATATCGCAACGATTGAATTTACATCTTAGTGATATTACACATTCCAAATGCTCGAGAATCAGGATGTCCTACGGATTGAATCCTTCAACTCATTTTGAGCACATGAAGATAATACACACACGAATTAACTCACTACTCTAAGTGTTTATCCTTGACACTATTATAAGCCATGTGTCCTTATCCATTCATGAGCGTATACAAAGCCAAGTCCGAGCTTCTTGAAGCGGCTACACTTTATACCCATATAGGTAGATCTTTTAATCTTGCACCTGCAAAATGCAATTTTTCAAAAGATCTATTAAGAAGAAAACTTCAACCTAACCTTTTCTTGCAGATCTAAGCACTTACTTTGGGATGATATAAACTAGTGCTTCAATCTCTAAGTGTAGGCTTTCCGCATTGAATTCAGCCTCTAACGTTGTATTAGAGGGAAATTGGGTATCCCACCATTAGAGATTTCAAATGGACTTTAATCCCATCCCTTTAGCCGACTTGATCACCAAGTCTCTAGCTAGTCCTTTTGTCAAGTGATCCGCTAGATTTTGCTGAGAGAGAATAAACTCTAAAGTAATCATCCCATGAGTGATCAACTCACGTATCCCGCTATATCTCAAGCCTAGGTGTCGCGACTTACCATTATACACTTGGCTATAGGCCTTAGCCAAAGTAGCTTGACTATCGCAATGGATAGAAATGGGTGACACCGGTTTCGGCCACAATGGAATCTCGGAGACTAAGTGTCTTAACCATTCGGCCTCTCTCCCTGCAGCCGCCAACACTACAAATTCCGATTCCATAGTAGAGTTTGTAATACAAGTTTGTTTCTTTGATGCCCATGAAATGGCACCTCCCCTAAGTAGGAACACCCAACCACTTGTAGAAGAACGATTTTCCTTGTTGGTGTTCCAACTTGCATCCGAATATCCTTCTAAGACCGAAGGAAATCCAAAATATGACAAACCATAATTTATGGTTCCTTTCAAGTACTTGAGCACCCGCCTTACAGCTTTCCACTGATGAGTACTAGGATTACTAGTGTATCTACTCAACTTTCCTACCGCATAAGCTATATCCGGTCTAGTGCTAGTCATGGCATACATTAAGCAACCAATTACTCGTGAGTACTCGAGTTGTGATACCGCTTGTCCCGTATTAGGCATAAGCTTCACGCTCACATCCATGGGAGTGCTCACGGGAGAACAATTTTCATAATTGAACTTTTTAAGCACCTTCTCAATGTAATGTGATTGAGTTAAAGATATTCCTTTGTTCTCACGCTTGATTCGAATTCCAAGAATCACCTCCGCCTCCCCCATGTCTTTCATGGCAAAATTTGATGATAAGAACTCTTTTGTAAGTTCTACTTGTCTAAGGTTGGTACCAAAGATCAACATGTCATCAACATATAAACAAATGATCACTCCATTACCAGAATCATCAAATTTGCTATACAAACACTTGTCCGACTGATTTAATTTAAACCCATTTGACAAGACAGCCTCGTCAAACCTTTGATGCCACTGTTTAGGTGCTTGCTTTAGACCATATAATGACTTTATCAACTTACACACCTTGTGTTCATTACCAGGCATAACAAATCCTTCGGGTTGTTTCATATATACCTCTTCTTCCAAGACGCCGTTTAAGAATGCCGTCTTGACATCCATTTGGTGGAGCACAAGATTATGAATGGATGCTAAACCAATTAATAACCTTATAATCCTTTGGTCCGAAAAACGAATCGGAGAGAGGAAGTAAGCGCATCAGTTCGGCCTAGAATCGTTAGATCCTTGCGGATCCGCCGATTCCTTGCCGAGCCGCATCCCCGTCTCAAACAAACCGTTACTCCATACAAAGTATGCACGTTATGAATATGCTCATGAATAACTAAGCCGATCAACGAACTAACCAAAAACCCCACAATATTCTAGCCCTTAGATCAACCGCACGTCCGGAGATCGTAATCTCCGACACATTACCACAGCTTTACACCCACTTAAGTTGCTTCCTTGTCTCCTCCACGGACTCGTGCTCCGACATGGTGGGCATTGGCACACTTAGAACATGCACCATATTGAGTGTTGTGAGGAGAAAGTGCATCTTCTTTTGCCTCTTCTAAAATCAACTCCTTCAAACTTATCCAATTTGCCAAACTTTGATGTCATCTCACGCACAGAAACATTAGCCATTGTTCACCAGAATACTCTTTAAGATTGTTATAATCAATGCGTTGTAACTCCGGGATGTAACGAATGTGAACTTGGAAAATGATTGAATCGCGCACGTGAGCACTTTCCTTAAAGAGTATTTCGACCCTTCTCAAGCCTTGGGTTACACGAAATCCCTTGTAGGATAAGACAATCAAAGTTCTCTCTTATTCTAGGCTAAGATACAAGAGAAACAAATAGAGATTTGTGTTTTTTTAATGTGTTTATCACCAAAGATTCTTTCAATCTTTGATCTTGTGAAACTCTCGTGCTCTGTACTTCTCTCTCTCTTTTGACACAAGAGAAACAGAGTTTTATAGTGATCAACAGTGTTCACATACGTTTGCAACCGTACGTTTAATATAATAACCGTTTGTACAAAAAGGTGCGATGGTTGGTGTATAACCGTCGATGTACGTACACTAACTGTCGATGTACGTACACTTAAATATCCAACATTCGTGAATAACCGACGATGTACGTACACTTAAATATCACGTACACATAAATATCCAACATATATATACAGTATTAATTACATACTTAAATGATATATATAGATGTCAGTAAATGTGCATATAATAGATACAAGAAAGTGTAAATGTGGGAATGTGAAATGTTGGAGGAAGAGAAGATGGAGAGTGTGTGGGTCTATGCTGCTTTGGCACTTTCAGACATTTTATTCAGGTTCCATATGACTTGACTACCACTCTCTTTCTCTCTCTAATAGTTCTTTATTATTGGTTCATTATATAAAAGGAAAAATTCCCAAATAAAATCTCATTTTTTTTTGACGTTTAATATCCAATTATTTTTGGTTGGAAGAAATATACACATATTAATTAACTGGTGCGGTTTAATATCCAAATAATTTTTTTTTTTTTGTGCACAATATCCAAATAATTAAATATTGTTATTTTCATACTTAGGAACTCACAATAACAAAAAAAAAAAAAATTCTAATTTTATCCTTACCATTTTAATTAATTATTAACTTTTAGATAACGTGACATTAATTTTTTATTTAAATAAAAATTAATTTTGTTAATATTTCATTTCTTTTTTATCCCAAAAAAATTCAAAAAAAAAAAGACGATAAATAGCCATTTTCAAATTCAAAAAAAAAAATTGAAATAATTTTCAGTTTATTTTACAAATATTTAATTTTTAAAATTTAAAATAAAATTAACTAGCAAAATTTTTTTTTTTTTAAATATAGCCATTTTTATGAATTGATAAATCTTGAGAAAGACGATGAGATTCGAATTGAGATTTTTTCGAAAATAGTTTCATTTGTGAAGGATTTATATTCGAATAGAGAGTTTCTCACGACGAAAAAAAACTTCATATAGATGCTCGTTAATATCATATGCATCACGACGAATAAAATCAAATTAGTTTTATTGCCGATGAAGATTTTGGATACGATTAAAAGGAGATCGTCAACGGTTATCGAATTTAACTTTTTCGAAAATAGTTTCATTCGTGAAGGATTTATATTCGAATAGAGAGTTTCTCACGACGAAGAAAAAGTTCATATCGATACTCGTTAATATCATATGCATCACGACGAATAAAATCAAATTAGTTTTACTGGCGATAAAGATTTTGGATACGACTAAAAGGAGATCGTAAACGGTTATCGAATTTGATGGTTGCAAAAGAGGACAACGGAGATTGTTTACCGGCGATTATCGTAGTGATTAATCGAGAAAATTTGAGAATCGAAGAGGAAACGTCTTTTTGATATTGCAAAAACGGAATGACTATTTTTAATATTTTTAATTTTCTGCTAACTTTTATGTTTAATTTTAAAATATAATAATTATATCAATTTTTTTTTAGGCAACATAAATAAAACATTAGTAAAATTAATTTTTATTTAAATAAAAACTAATACTATGTCATCTAAAAATTAATAATTAATTAAAATGATAAGGATAAAATTAAAATATTTTTTTTGTTGTGAGTTCGTGAGTGTGAAAATAACAATATTTAATTATTTTTTCTTTTTATTTCTTAAGTAATGAATTAATGGAGAAAGGCTCATAGCATTTTAGTGGTAGCTTCTCTCTAAGGTTTTTATAATAATTAAAATAATAAAAAAAATTAAAAAAAAAAAGGGAGAGAGTGAGAACCGTCTCTGCCCTCTGGGTTTAAGAATCTGTGAGATACGGTTGGTGCCACATGCTAATTGTATTGGTCAAATTCTGTTTATTATTTAAATTTTAATTACATAACAAAATAAAAATAAAATATTAGTTTTAATAGATAAGAATCCCACTTAGGGCATATGCAAGGGCATATCTTTGAAGTTTGATCTTAAGGGAAAAATAATATTAAAATATTGTAAAAACACTAATTAAGATCTTTTGTAAAGTAACTGATTATTGGTAGAACATGTTTAGATCATAAAAAATAATAATTTAATAATCAAAAACTTTAAATGTTTTTAAAAATTAAAAAAATTATTTCTAAAATTGAAAAATTAAAAACTAAACTTATATTAAAATTGACTAACCGAAGCCGATTTAAAATTGACTAAAAAAATAACTAAAATTGGCTCCGATTTTATATTAAAAACTAAACTTATATTAAAATTGACTAAAAAAAATTATTTCTAAAATTGGCTCTGATTTGGCCGGAAATCCGAGCGAAATCGGCGAAGCAACGAAGGCGAGAAAATTAGATGCAACACGATTTTCGCCCAAATGAAAAACAATTTCCGTTAACAAAATTCGAACCAATCCGCGGATGCCACGTGGCCACAAGAACGGGCTTAGATCAGTTCTAGTCCAAGACCACTTCTCATGTTCTTAATCCACTAGTCCAACATTTTATTATTTTTTTAACATAAGATCAGGCCATTAGTTGGCCTGATAAACATGGTCTTAGAGAAGCCCAGCAATGTGGTTGCTCTCATAACCTAACGGGAAATTCTACAAACTGTGAATTCTCAACTTAGGAATTCAACACCTATATTCGCTAGTGAGATTTGTAGATTATGACCGAACAGTATGTCTGGACGTTCGAATATCCGTTCGGTTCTGGTTCGGTTCCGGTTTTTTCGGTTCTAGAGTTTATAATCCACATATGAACCAAACAATTTCGGTTCGATTCCGGTTCTGGTTCCGGTTCCGGTTCTGAAGTTTAGGATCCATTCGGATATTTGTTTTCGAATATTTTTAGGTATTTTGGATATTTTTGGGTATTTTCGGATATTTTGAGTATTTTTGGATATTTTAAGTATTTTTTGATATATTTTCTAAATATTTGTTGGTATTTCGGGTAATTTTGGTTATTCGATCTAAAAAATAACTAATATTTTTAGATATAAACTCATATTTCGAATATTTTTGGATACCCAAAATATTTTGGTTCGGTTTGGTTCCGGTTCCGGTTCCGGTTCTTTCGGTTCTAAAATTTAAGATTCATTTGAGTATTTTAAATTTCGGTTCGATTCCGGTTCGGTTCTTTGTGCTTCGGTTCCAGTTCGGTTCTTGTGGTTCGGTTATTTTGCCAAGACCTAGGTATAAGTTCCGACAAAAATAATAATAATAATGAATTAATGAATACGAAGTAATATTATATTTGTTCTATAAAAAGGTGATTCTCTTCTAACTTTGTTAATGGAAATTCTCTTATAACCTTTATGAAAAAGAGAAATGATTCTCGTTGATATGTAGAATATGTTGATGATGTCTCGTAAATCTGTCTAGTCGTTTCAAGTTACTCTTTGTTTCCAAATTTTTCAAAAAGAATTTTGGATCTATACTAGTATTTTCGCAACACTTTGGTGACGGATGGGTAAAAATGCTTCTGGATTAATCGGATATCCGACCCGTTTCAAAAAGTCCTTCACAAAAAAATTTGTTGGGTCGGGTTATATTTAACTCAACCCATATACCGGATATTCCATATTTAATAATTTAGATATTTAGAAGATTTGATTAAGATTTATAATTATGATTTTCCTATCATCTTTGTTTAATTTGTTTTTAACTATTTTGAATCATCATATAATACATAAAGTAGAAAAAAAAAATCAATTTTTTTCTTCTGCATATACGGTGATTCGAAATTTTTAAAACGGACATATATTATCCAATTGACGAAAATGTGTGTTCAACGTTCTACATCGATTAAAATATTTAGAAAATGATTCAGAATCATATCATAAATAAGAACATTAATAAAATAAATGAGTTTTTTGGCCGGACGGGTTTGGTGGGACGGGTTTTTGAATCAACAATAATAAAAAAATTAAAATATCATTAATCCGCCGCTTAAATACGGATTAAATCCTTTTTTTGTAATACCATAAATATTAGACATATTAAATCAGTCTCATTTAGAAAAGATTGTATTAAACCAAAAATTATCCCGTGGTATAATGTTACTTAATAACAATATTTATAGAATTTTAAAATATCATTAACATGCGGCTTTAATACATATTAAATCTTTAGTTTATTAAAATATAAATATCTTAGAGAATGATATGATTTGTAAACTTTTATATATAATAAATAATCATTAAATATTAAAATAAAAACAAATCACGGAACGGATTAAGAAATTACAGAACGGATTATATTTCGGAAATGATTTATATGGTGGACGAATTTGAATCAATATTTATATACCGCTTTGATATGAGTTAAATCCTCAGTTTATTAATAATTGTCTCGTGGACTTGTGGTATACCGTTACTTAATAACAATTGTAAACTATAATATAAATAAATATGTTATAAGGAGATACAATTTACAAAATATTTTTATACTAACTTTAAAATTAAATCATCCCGCGGTGTACCACGGGTAGGGGTGTCAAAATAGGTCAAGATTCATGGATCAACCCAACTCAACTCAACCCATGAACCCTAATGAGTTGAAAATTTTGACTCAAATGAGCTGATGAATCAAATGAGTTATTGAGTCAAATGGGTTGATGGATCAAATGAGTTGGATTGTAATTGGTCAATGGTTTCAATGGTTTACCCATTTAACCCATCAATTTTTGTCAAATTAAATCAAACCAATTCAAATCTCTTAACCGATTTCAATTTGAGTCTAACCAAAACTTCTAAACCGATTGAATATAGTCCTTAATTTTCCCACCAAATATGTGAATACACCAGTTTCCCATCAAAATATAAATTCCTGATTTTTCCGCCAAAAACGTAAATCCGCAATTTTCCCGCCAAAAACGTAAAACCGTGATTTTCCCGCCAAAAAAATTTATAATTTTTAACCAAAAACGAAAATATATAATTTTCCCGCCAAAAACGTAAATCCGTGATTTCCCGCCAAAAATGTAAATCCGTGATTTTCTCGCCAAAATTTTTATAATTTTTTACCAAAAATGAGAATGTAAAATTTTCCCGCCAAAACGTAAATCCGTAATTTTCCCGCCAAAAACGTAAATCCGTGATTTTCCAGCCAAAAAAAATTATAATTTTTCACCAAAAACGAAAATATTTAAATTTTCCGCCAAAAATGTAAATCCGTGATTTCTCGCTAAAAATATAAATCCGTGATTTTCCCACCAAAATGTTTCATAATTTTTAACCAAAAGTGAGAATGTAAAATTTTTCCGCCAAAAACGTAAATCCATAATTTTCCCGTCAAAATCGAGAATGTGTAATTTTTCTGTCAAAAACGTAAGTCCGTGATTTTTCCGCCAAATAATAGTGATGTTGATGATTATTATTATTATTAATATTATTATATTTTAATTATTAATTTATTTATTACATTAGTAG